TCTCCCCGGGCTGGGGCTCCTACAAGGAGACAGGACAGGGTGTCAGTGTCAGACACCCCTCCTTGGGTCAGGGAGGGAGCCCAATGGATTTCCAGGTCAGGTACCAGAGGGACCCCCCTCTCAGGGACAGTTAGGGGTGCAGGCTCTCCTGGGGTGCAGGGAGACCCCCTGAAATAGCCCATCAGCGGTACCCATGGGCCCTGCAGGGGCTCTGGGACCCACGGGGACCTTCTCTCTCAGGCCTTGTGCACTGCCCACACCCACTGTGTCTGAGGCCTGACCCCAGCTTTTCTGAGTCACGTGGCCTCCACTCAGGTCGGGACCACAAATCCCTATTCTCCCCTCAGAGACCTGCCTCCTGCCCTGGGCTGCATCACTTTGATTCTAGAACTTTCTAAAGACTAGGAGGTCCTTCCAGGAGCCTCTGTGCAGGCTGGTGTGTGGGCTGTGTGCTCCCTCCCCCACCCAGGTGTGCTGTCCATGCTCAAGATGGTCACATGAGTGCTGCTGGAGTGTCCCATGGCAGATGCAAAGTTCCTGCAATTTCTCCCCTCCCCTCAGACCCTCCAAAGGCACACGTGACCCACCACCGCGTCTCTCAGCGTGAGGTCACGCTAAGGTGCTGGGCGCTGGGCTTCTACCCTGCGGACATCAGCCTTACCTGGCAGCGTGACGGGGAGGACCAGACCCAGGACATGGAGCTGGTGGAGACCAGGCCTGCGGGGGACGGGACCTTCCAGAAGTGGGCGGCCGTGGGGGTGCCCCCTGGAGAGGAGCTGAGATACACGTGCCGTGTGCAGCATGAGGGGCTGCCCGAGCCCCTGACCCTGAAATGGGGTGAGGAGGGGCCGTGGGCACAGAGCCTCTTCTCAGGGCAGCAGGGACCCTGGGGAACCTCAGTGGGGTCGGGGCTGAGGCCTGGGGTCAGGGCCCTCACCCTCCCTTCCCTTCTCCCCCCAGAGCCGCCTTCTCACACCTTCATCATCATCATCATGGGCATCGCTGGGGGCCTGGTTCTGCTGGGAGCTGTGGCTGCAGCTGTGATGTGGGGGAGGAGGCGCTCAGGTGGGCAGGGGTGGGGTCTGAGTGTCTGTCCCACTGGGGGTTCAAGCCCAGGTAGACGTGTCCCGCCTCCTTCACGGGAAGCACCAACCCACCCGTGTGATGGCCAGTGTGGGGCTCTGTGCTCACACTTACTCTGTAGTGAGGCCCGTGGGAAAATGAGGGACCCGCTTATCACCTGATGGTGCTGGTGGTGGGGACCCCGTTCCCATCAGTCCCAGGTCAGAGGGCAGGTCCCTGCTGAGCACAGACCTCCAGGAGGGCGGTGGGTCCAGACCCCACACATGCACTTCCCTCAGTTTCCCTGGTCCTGCCCTGGGTCTATACACAGGGTTCTGGAAACTTCTCTGGGGCCCAGGACTAGGGCTTCCTTTAGGACCTCATGGCCCTGCCTCCTCCCTGGTCTCTCACGGGATGTTTTCTTCCCGCAGGTGGGAAAGGAGGGAGCTACTCTCAGGCTGCCAGTGACAGTGCAGATGGGAGCCATATTGGACCCCACCCCATAGTTCCTCCTTAGTCTCCTGTCCTGGGGCTCTGACCCTCTCCTGGTGTGTCCCCCTACCCCCCAGGCAGTGACAGCGGTCAGGGCTCTGATGTGTCTCTCTCGGCTTCTAAAGGTGAGACCCTGCCGTGGGGAAGGGTGGGCAGAGGGAAGGACTGGGTGGTGGGGAGTCTGTGGGACACTGTGAGCATGAAGTGGGCTTTGAGAATGTCACCAGTTACAGCCACTGACCTGAATGTGTTCATGATGCTTGTCCTCCACAGCGTGAGGCAGCTGCCTTGTGGGGACTGAGTGTTGGAAGATGTTCACGATCCCACTTCCTGACTCAAGAACCTCTGATTTGGGGGGCTGGCCTGCTCTGCTCCCCACACTTTCCTGTCAGCAGAGGCGAGCTGGGCCCTCCCCATCCCCGCCTTTACTCCCTGGTGCTCTGAGCTGCAACTTCCAGCTCTGTATTGAAATGAGACTGTGCATTGACCTCGTGTTTTAATTCTTGCCGTGACTGGTGACGGGTAATTAAAGGAGACCCTTTTTAAATTATTTTCTCAGAGGAAATAAATGGAAGCACCAAGGATTCTGCGGATTCCTGTGTATTTTGTGCTCTTTGCAGGGGGGACGGGAGAGGCTGTAAGGACGGAGTGTGGTCGGGGCCTGTGCCCAGGTGGTTCTCAGTGCGTCGTGGGCTTTGACGTGCTCACTCCTCAACCGGGTCACCTCTCTGCTCCTCTGACCTTGTCCCTCAGTGTTCCCTGTCCCACCAGGGCCTGAAGGTTCCAACCCTCTGATCAGCTTGGTCTTTCTGGGGACCAGCCCCCACCCTGGCTCTCTCCAGGACCCTCAGCCAAGAGCCATCTCATCAGCGTCCCAAAGACACTTGTCACTCACGATATGCCCAGGGTTTTAGGAGCTCAGTGCCAGGAGCCAGGGGCAAAGACCAGACACTTTCTCAGATCCATTAATAGCAACAGTGTCCCAATAATTGAAGATGCTGGCACCTTACTAGAGTCCCACCTACTCATGAACACTGTGTCCAATCCATCGTCCTTTGAGGATGGTTACATGGCCCGAACACTTAGGAAAATTGCCCAACAGTTGTAGTCAGAGGAGAAATTGAATTCAGCCCTAATGTGATATTGCTGCCCACCTCCCAGCATTGAGAATGACAGAGTCAGACAAAACCAATTGTTCACAAGAATGTGGACTCGTTCTGTCTCATATATTCCTGGTGGGAAAGTAAGTTGTTCCAAACCTGGTGGAAAATGCATTGGCCGCACTCCCTGCACCTAGAGACCAAGAGCAGTGTGGGGTGTCAGGGGGAGTCACAGGCTGAGCGTCACCGACAGGATGACAGGAGATCACACATGGGACGAGGGAGAGAGTGAAAGGCTCAGAAGGACAGATGGACCAAACGGAGAGACGCCTGTTGGCAAAAGTGTGGAGAAAAGACAACCCCTACCCATGTTGGTGAGAATGTACTTGTTCTCCAGAAAGAGATTTTCAGCCCTTGTGTACCTCAAACTACCCAACTTATACGATGGCTCCCTTCCACTGGTTGGGCACTCCTACCGTGTCCCCCAGTGCTTCCCAATGCGGTGCCACACATGGGCTGTCACAGCCAGGAAAGTTATTCAAGATGCCAACTCTCCCACCTCCCCTTTGAAAGAAACAATAAAAGGAGAGGATTTAATGAGGTTACACAGATCTCACATATCTTGGAGTTTAGGGCGAGTCACTCTGCCCCATGGGACACCTGTACATTTCTGATCAGAGACGGGTGAGATAAGGGAAGCAATTCTATTGGAGGGTACGGAAATCATGATGAAGCAGTTGATGTAGAAACACAAAGGTGGGAATGGCACCTAAGTGTTTCTTCTCAAGGGACGCCAAGGGGTACCTGTTGGCAACTCTCCCAGGACAGGATTGAAGGGACCACAGGCCTACAATTCAATTAGTGACTCCAGCGCACTGTCACAGCCTTGACTCCTGTTCTGCGGACTGACTGCATTCAGCGACCCCTCTTCTGCTCCATGTGACACCGGCTGGGGCGGGGTATTGGAAGCCCGGCTGGACCAGAACATTCCAGAGGGTCCCTGACAGGGTGCAGCTGGTGCTGGAAGCCGGTTGGACGTCCTTGGGCTCTGAGTGGGTGCTGCTCCAAGCTGGGCCCCTGGCTCCAGGGGGCGTGGGCCAAGGGCACAAGTCACACCCACAGGCCCCTCATGTCACACTCACAGGTCCCTCAGGTAACACACACAGGCCCCTCATGTCACACCCACAGGCCCCTCATGTCAGACCCACAGGCCACTCGTGTCACACCCACAGCCCCTCAGGTCACACCCACAGCCCCTCATGTCAGACACAGATGCCCCTCATGTCATACCCACAGCCCCTCATGTCAGACACATATGCCCCTCATTTCACACCCACAGGCACTCATGTCAGACCCACAAGCCCCTCATGTCACACCCTCAGGCGCCTCATGTCAGACCAACAGACACCATGTTTCAGACTCATAGTTGTAATCTTCATTATTCAAATGATTTCGTTCCAGACTTTCAAGTTTCGATCTTAAGTTGACAAACACATGAATCCAAATGCTACCTTGAAATCATGCAAGTTGCATCTCAATTTGTATCCATTGGAAATCTTTTAATTCCAAAGTACTGTAAACAACTACATCCAGATACTTAATTATTTTAATGGTCTGTTCTATTCTTCTAAATTGGTTGAATCTTTCGCTGAACTGTTCAAATAACGAGTTTACTATATAATGGTACATAAGTATGGGCTCAATTACACTCGTTGTAGTGGCCTTCTCCAAATACTTTTTTTATCCGAGCTTGTGTTCATTAATTGGTCTGAAACTTCCCCCAAAATAGCGGGGGTCACCTTTCCTGCTCCTGAGTAACCAATTCCCAGTCAGACTGGAATGAGAGATGTGGGTGCTTCTGAGATGCTTGTCCTGGCACCTGCAGGGGAGAGCTATGGTTATGCGGTCACTGAGCCCAATGGACTGGATGAAGGTCCTGGGTTGCATTTCAGTCAAGGTCATGCACTGGTTGGGGGCAGGATCCTGGGCCCTGATCCCGTGCTTGGGGGTGGAAACCAATCAATGTGTCTCTTTCAATAGATGTTTCTCTCTATGTCTTTGTGTATTTTCCTCTCTCTCTAAATATCAATGGAAAATATATCCTCCAGTGAAGTTTAGCACCACCACCACCAACAACAACATAAAAGTTAAATTAAAATGAAATAAAAATAAAAAGGCAAGAAAGAAATGTCTAAGAGCCAGCACAGGCCCTCCCCGGGAAGATCTCCACTGTCAACACCACTGTCCAGGACAGGTGCCCAAGGTGGGTACTAACCATCACACCTGCTCATAGAAAAGGAACAGGCCTGGGGCGGGGGGGGTTGACTGTCCCAAGGTCACACAGGGAATGAGTCCTGAGCTGGGATTTGAACCCAAGTAGGGTGCCCTGGGCATGCCTGCTCGGCCCTTGTGAAAAACTGCTTCTCCCTTCCAGGTAAGACCAGCAGAAGCCCAGCTCAGGACTCACTGGGCACGTCTAGGTCTCCTGTGCACTTATCTCATGGCCCCACATGCATGTGGTTGGTGTGATGTTGTCCTGCAAACAAATTCCATGATTCCTCGTGGAGGCAGCCTGGGTGTGTGCTGTCTGTTTCCAGGAGAGCTCAGCTACAGGCGTCAGCACTCACTACAGTGCCTCCCCTCCTCACTCCAGAGTCTGTTCAGTGGCGCTGTCCACACTACGTGACTCAGAGTTCCCCAGAGTCAGAGCCTGGCGCACACACACTGGGTGCTCCGGGGTATCTGTGGGGTGAGTGACTGACAGGAGAAGGATGGGGGCCTAGAGGAAGAGCTCCACAAGGCAGCAGGGGGCTGGCCACAGCTGGCCTTCCTCACACCGCCAAGAGCCACGGACTCATTCCACAGACATCTAAGGAGCCATGATTGTTCCTGAGGGCGGGGAGCCCTTTCTGCCCTGGCCTCTGGGGTAGCCACCTTCCATGGTGCTGCCTGCTGCCTCCTCCAGCCCCGCCTGGCCGCCAGGAGCCGCCCCTCCCCCGTCTGACTCCTCCCTGGTCTAAGCCAACCTGTACCCCAATGTCCTAGGGTCCTTCCCAGCTGTTTCTGCCCAAAACCCCGCTTTCGCGGGAGGCGGGGGCCGGGGTCCGTGAGCGGGCGGAGCTGCCCACGGTTGGGGCTGGCGGATCTTCTGTTCCGAGTGGACTTGACCTTTTCCCTGAGTTCAAAGTAGCGTGTGTTTTTCTTCTGAATTTTGTCCCAGTTCGCAAAGGGCAATGAGAAGTCCAGGCACTCAGATCTCCCCTCCGCCCACCCTTCCTGACCCCTGCCCGCCCCATCCGTGGAAGGGGTCTCCGCATAGACCCCTGCCCCCTCCCTCCCTCGGGCACACACCCTTTGGGGGCTGGGGGGCAGCGAGGCGGGCCAGGGGCCCAGGAGAGCAGAGCAGGTGTGCTCCTTGGGCAGAGGGGAGGCTGAAGGCAGGGGAGGGGCCTGGCAGCAGGCTCCATGGTCTGCGACCCAGGAAGGCAGGAGGGGGACGGAGATGCCGGATCTGAGAAAAACCTGGAAACAATTGACCAGCATCTGCCCAGAAATAAAGTCACTGATGAGGTGCCAGCCCGGTCCCGGATTCTGTGGGGGTGCCACCCCTCGCGGGTGCGGTGGGGGGGGAGGGGTTTTTGGGAACCCACCCAGCTCCTGGGGCAGCCGTTCCTGCCCTTGACTCTGGAGAGGGGACCCGGTGAGAGGTGATGGAGGTGAAGGCTCCCCCATTTCCACCCGCGGGAGATACGCACACCCGCTGTGGCCCAGGATCAGGTCACCTCAGGTCCCTCTCAGAGGCAGGGAAAGGGCCGGCTCAGCACCAGGCCCGCCGGGGCCGTGGTTCTGGAGACTGGGCTGTGACCTGGAGCCAGGCTGTGCTCCCAGAGGTCTGTGCGGGCCTGGCTGGGGGTGGGGGGTGGTCCTTCTGTCCCAGCTCCTTGGGGTCTGGCCAGGGGCTCTGTAGTTCCTTCGCCTCGGCACCCCCTCCCTTATCCGGCCCTTGGCCTAGAACAGGGGCACCGCCAGGCCCCACCCCACCTTCCGGGTGAGTGACGGGAGCAGCCTGGGCCGCCCTCGCTTGGTCCCTGAATCCATCTCAGTCCCACCTTCCAAACACACCCCGAAGCTGTGACCTCCTGGACCCCCCTCACCCTCCAGATCCAGACGCTTCCCAGGGCTTGGAACTCACGGCTTCCGATGGCTCTCACGGGTGACGGTGACCTCACGGCGTGAGTGAGGAGGAGAGATGGCAGCGAGCTCCCGCCAAGCTGAATCCTACTGGTCTGCGACCGGGTCTCCATCGCCTGCAGACCAGGCTGGGCTCTTTTATTTATTTATTTTAAATATATTTTATTGATTTTTTTACAGAGAGGAAGGGAGAGGGACAGAGAGTCAGAAACATCGATGAGAGAGAAACATCGATCAGCTGCCTCCTGCACACCCCCTCCTGGGGATGTGCCCACAACCAAGGTACATGCCCTTGACCG